AAAAAAAAAAAAAAAAAAAATCTCTGAGCCCAGAACCCAACTGACACAATGAGACACTATTTCAAAAAAAACAAAAACCAAACAAACCAAAACCCCCAAAACCAAAAACCAAACAAACAAACAAAAAAACCTCTGAGCTGGGAGCCCAACCCCATGATACATGTAAGTACCAAGGTACCAAGTATTGTTTGCACGGTTTTAAGAGCTACTGAAATTTCCAGGAACGCAACTAGTAGTAAATCAAGAGTGCACTGTGCTTTGTTTTGCTCTGCACTTTACTAAGAGTTTTCATTATTTTAGAAACCTTAGTCTCCAGTATTATACTCTGGATCACTTTACATTTGTAGTTGTCTCACTTAGCTATGCTTAGGTGTAAGTAGCTGCCTAATTCATTATTTCTTCTATTGTGGTCCCAATCAAGTATTTATTTATATATTAAAATTCACCTTGGCCAGGCACAGTGACTCACACCTAATCCAGCACTGTGGGACTCTGAGGCATGGTGAATCACTTGAGCCCAGGAGTTCAAGACCAGCCTGGGCCTCATAACAAAACCCTGTCTCTAGCAAAAATACAAAAATTAGCCAGGTGTGGTGGCATCTGCCTGTGGTCCCAGCTACTTGAGAGGATGAGGTGACAGGATCACCTGAGCCCAGGAGGTTGAGGCTGCAGTGAGCTGTGAACTGTGTCACTGTACTCCATTCTGGGCCACCGAGCAGACCCTGTCTCAAAAACAACAACAAACGAAAAAATAAAATGAAATTCATCTTGTTTTATAACAAATCACCTTCCTTTTATTTCTTCTTTATTTTAAAACGTCTCATGGGATAAATAAAACACAGTATATCCATACAATGAAATATTTGGCAATAAATTGAATGAACAAAATACTGATACATGCTATAGCATGGATGAATCTAGAAAACATTATACTAAGTGAAAGAAGCCAGTTACAAAAGACTACATCTGAGCTCATTTACATAAATGTCCAGAATATGCAAATCCACAGAGCCAAAAAGTAGATTTGTGGTTGCCAGGAAATGGGAGGAAGGGAATTGGGGGTGACTGCCTACAGGTATAGGGTTTCTTTCGGGGTAAAAAGTTCTGGAATTAGATAGTGTTGACGGTTGACTAAATACTGTATGACTTCTTTTACAGAAATGTCCACAGTAGGCAAATCTATAGACACAGAAAGTTTATTTGTGGTGGCCTGGGGATAGGGAGAGGATGAGTTGAGATGAGGGATTGAGGGGTCATAGCTAAGGCGATCAAGATTTCTTTTGGAGGCCAGGCTTGGTGGCTGATGCCTGAAATCCTAGCATTTTGGGAGGCAGAAGCCAGAGGATTGCTTGAGCCCAGGAGTTAGAGATCAGCCTGGGCAAGATGGTGAAACCTCATTCTACAAAAAATAAAAATAAATTAACTGGATGCAGTGGTGTGCACCTGTAGTCTCAGCTACTCAGGAGGTGAAGGGATCACTTGAGCCCAGGAGTTCAAGGCTGCACTGAGCTATAATAGGTGACACTGCACTCCAGCCTGGGTAACAGTGCAAAACCCTGCCTCTAAACAAAGAAAGAAAAAAAGGATTTATTTTGGAGGCAATACAAACATTTCAAAACAGATTATGGCAACAGGTGTACTATGTGAATATAATAAAAGCCATTGAGCTGTACACTTTATTTATCATGTATTTTATGTTTCATTTTTTTTAATAGACAGGGTCTTGCTCTGATACCCAGGCTGGAGTGCAGTGGTGTGAACATGGCTCACTGCAGTTTTGACCTCCTGGGCTCAAGTGATCCTCCTGCCTCGGCCTCCTAAAGTGCTGGGATTACAGGCATGAGCCCCCATACTAGGCCTAGAGCCATATACTTTAAATGGGTGAGTTGTATGTATGTGAATTATATCTCAATAAAGCTGTCAAAAAGTCATATGAGTGTAGGTATGTCTATATATGTATATATCAATAGTGTTTCAGAGAGTAAAGTGGACATGACAAAATATTTGTAGGAGAAAAGGGGTATCGCTGTGACAGAGCTGTCCATATTTTGTTCCCTGTTGGTCTCCCTGACTTTATTTTGATTGATTGATTTGACACAGTCTCACTCTGTCTCCCAGGCTGGAGTGCAGTGGCACCATCTTGGCTCACTGCAACCCCCACCTCCCATGTTCAAGCAATT